GGGGTTTCATTATCGACTAGTTCTTATGTCACAGAGTAATTATACAAAAGAAATAAATATTATTAAACAATTAGTTAAAAATAACGGATGTAATCAAAATTTAATAGATGGAATTATTAATAAAGTAAAATATAAAATCGCAGTTAAAAATGTTTCTCCAATAGAAAATAAAAATAAAGACTTTTTTCTTGTTTGTACCTTGTTCGGAGAAGTATCTAATTTTTTAAAAAAGGAAATATAATCTTATGGATTACATGTTGCTTTTAGAACACAGAAAAGCTTACAAAAATTAATAAAAAATAATAAAAGTGAAACACTAAAGTCTCAGAAGTCAAGTGTATATAGTTTGCAATGTGGGTCTTGCGATAAAGTGTACATAGGACAAACTGGCTGGTCTTTTGCTAAACGTTTGAAAGAACATAGGAAGCCTTTTGTCGGTGGTACAGAAAAATCAAATTATGCATCTCATCTGTTAGAATTCAATCATCAGTTTAATCATGATTTTAAAGTTTTGCATGTAGCCTCTAAAGGTATATTATTGGATTCTTTAGAAACAGCCGAGATTAATAATTTGAAAAACACTGACCACTTACTTAATTGTCAGCTAGATTTAAATGACTAACCTTTATTGAATTTATAATAATAATAACGTTCGTAAATAGCTTTGATAGGTGACGTTGTACTGATGTGTATGAATATAATATGTTGTAGAACCGAACAGAGTTTAGTTTATAAATCTCTGTGTCTGAAGAAGGTACAGTGTACCGAAACAATTGTAACACTAATATATGACAATTAATTGTGAAGATTTATTTATAAACTCATTTTTCATTTGATTTTAATATTAAGATTAGACTACATGATGATTTTAGGAAGAATTTTTCATTATCACAAGGTTACTTGAAAGCTCATTTCATACTTCAAATTACCCTAGTTAAATGAAGGCTCATAATAAGTGACTGTATGATTAAATGAGTTTAGAACGGTGGAATAATTTGTATCCCTTGTATCTCAGCGTACTATTCCTAGGGTTTCATTAAAAGCCTAAGTACCAGTTTTAGGAGGGAGATGTTATGTAGAATGTTAGAATAAAAGTGATTTCAGAAGATTTTACCCTAACGATTCGCCCAATATAGTTTAAGTATAGAGCGAAATGTCACTTGTACGTCTACGCGTAGTACACCGATCTCTGATCAAAACCAATTTTTCAAGTTAACTTTTTTAATACATCATTAAAAATGTGCATAACTATCTCGGATCATAATAAAAAAATCATGAAAAATATTACTTTATCTTAATTTGTATTTAAAAATAACGAAAAGAGGAAATAATAATAATTTATATGACTATCTTAATAATAATCTTGTTTAGTCCTGCAACTTATTTTTCTTTTAAATAATTGTAATAAAAAAATTAATGAGCAAAATTTGTTCTTATTTTAAGAAAGAAAGAGTTGCATTTCATTGATAAAGCATATCTTACAGAAAATCCTGCAGAAAATACTACAGGATTCTCTGCATAGAAAGCCCATTTCCTGAGGAATTCTGCTCAAGTTTCTGGAAGAACCTACAGGACATCATGAAAGATTCTGAGAGAACCCCTACAGGATTTCTGGCAGAAATTGATTGTACGGAAAATACTTACAAATCTTAGAATCCTTCTGAAGTTCATTAAAAGTAGGTAATATTGTTAGTTATCTTAAAAGCCCTTCGCACAGCGCAATGCAGGGTATCTCAAACTTCTGATTTTTTAGAGTAAAAAACAGTAAGTTAAGTTGCCAGGGCCAAAAATTACGAAATGCATGGTACAGTAGAATTTTTGTTACTTCTTGAATTATAGCAAGTAATGTAAAATTACTTCCAAAAAAAATTTTTTTTCAAGCATTCTGAGTTGTGTGATTAAGTTGCTTATTTTTATAATTATTAGTATTATTCTTTTGAAACAGAAGGATCAAGATATTTCTGATAAAGTATAAAAAAATATCGTATTATAAAAGTATTGTTGGTCTAAGTAAGACTCTGTGAGCTATGTTTTGTTTTGCAAAAGACGTCAGTTTTTAATGGTTGAAAATTGACGTCGATAACAACTATTTGACCCTAAAAAATTGAAACTAAAATTTGATCCTGATCCCACAAAACTTTTAGTAGTTAGTCGAGTAAAATAAAATAATTTTAAAAAAAGCCGACAAAAACCTTCATTTTCATGCTTTTGTACTACGTCGCTTTTCTTCGCAAGAAAGATCGTATGTTGTCCTCCACCTTAAACTTGAAGGGCCTGAACATCTTTTAGATACTTGGAATCGATTAAAATGAGTTAAAAAACGTTTTTTTCTTCTCAAGTGCCAAGCTTTCCCTTGGATTCCATTTCTCAGGCATAAAGTTTTCCTGAAATAACATTGTTGAAATCATAATTGAAGTCATAAGTTTTAATTTTTTATACTGTCATTAGTCAAGTTTTAAATTATTTACCAGTATGTGTAACAGCAAACGACTGAGCAATGCCAGCTGCAACGTCTATGCGTTACTCGTTACTCAGCCATGGTACAAGAGTTATTTCTGTTGAATTGACACCTACAACACCAAGTCCTACAGGGTATAAACTTGTCCTTTCGTTTATCGTTCAGAGCAGTTGTACGAGCAGTTGCGGCCTTGAGCGTTATAAATGTGTTGAATTAGCATTATACGCTCGTGTCTCGTTCGAAAATTTTCAGTTTCGACGACGGCTGGAAGCAACATACAGAGTTGTTAGATTTTGTACGGTATGGGATCGTAAAGTTATTCATATAAACAACATTGTCAAGCATTTTAGAACCAAAAAAACTGTATCGAAGACTTTGATGGTGTTGAATTTGTGGGACCAAAATTTGAAAAATTTGAAAACTCGATCTTTCCAAAATAAAAACTTAGGCTCGTAATGCTGAAGAATGTCATGTAACTTTTTAAGGAGTTGGATCATCGACTCGGATGGGGGTGGCTTAGAATATACCTGTTTTATACATGATATAGGTGCAATGGCAAAGTTTAATTTTCATTTGGTGCGTCACAATCTCGATTTTTTGACGCATTTATAAGAGCCAGTAACGCTCGTTTTTACAAAAATCTAGTATATCTTCGCAAGGGGTTTCATTATCGACTAGAAGGTGATGGATCAAAATAAAGCTGTTTTGTATATAATATGAGTGCAGTTTAATTGTTTTTTAGTGCGTTACAAAATGGATTTATGACAGCCCGTAATGCTATCCCGTAACGAACGCTTCTATCTTCGTTTAATGTTGTATTATCAACTTAGATATTGACTTATATAAATTTTAATGATAAGTGCATTATATTAATGTTGGAGTAATGTCAAATTTTTATAAAGAGCACCGTTATCCCGATTATAACGAGATTTTACAGTAAAAGCCCATAATGCTTATATATATTAGCTTACAAAAATTAATAAAAAATAATAAAAGTGAAACACTAAAGTCTCAGAAGTCAGGTGTATATAGTTTGCAATGTGGGTCTTGTGATAAAGTGTACATAGGACAAACTGGCAGGTCTTTTGGTAAACATTTGAAAGAACATAGGAAAACTTTTGTCAGTGGTATCAAATTGTGCATCTTATCTGTTAGAATTTAATCATGAGTTTAATCATGATTTGAAAGTTTTGCATGTAGCCTCTAAAGGTATATTATTGGATTCTTTAGAAACAGCCGNATATTAATAAAAAAAAATAAAAAATATACGAAATACACAAATAAAATAAGGTAATCACACATACAATCAGATCTTATTTAATCAAAGCAACGGCGCGTACACACTAACTATTTAATTAAAACAGCGAAAGTAACAATTTATTGGGGAATGATTGTCAAACATTTTTTCAAAATAAAATTTAAAACAATTTTGAAAATTTTTGGAGAGCGTACGTGTGGTATAACTTATTAGGTCTTATCTGTTTTCTCTAACGGCAAGTAACAAAAGTAACAAAAGGTAATTAAAACGTGGTATGTCGCAACCAAACGCCTGTAGTACCGTAGTGTATTTTTTCATTTTAATCATTTAATTTGATGGTCAGTTATTTCGGATTCCTTGGTTATAAAGGTCAGTTGAAGCAGAACTTTTTAAATATAATTTATAAATAATATAGAAATACATGCAACAAAAAGACATGGGGAATCTTTTCTGCATCTGAGTGCTTAATTTATTGCTGATACAAAGATGCAATCATGAATGCTAGCTGTTTATAAGCTGGAAGTGTGTAACACGCTGCTGATTATCACTTAAGACAGGAAAATTGCAAAGCAAAACGAAATAAAAGCTAAGCAACATGTAGGAAGTAGTTATAGCTTTAATTAATTTAATAGCTTAACTAAACATTGTCGCGTATTTTAGAAATCTTTTTTTCAATATTTAATTCTTTGTATACAACAAAAGAATATACTTACTGTCGTTCTGCACCAAAACCCGTTTGCTGGGCACATCTTGGCATTTTGGCAGTAGCTGGCCGTTTGTTTCCAATTAGTTTTCTCTGTAGCTGCACTGAAAATCGGAAATAAAAAGAAAAGGATTATTTGATAATATTCATATTATCAATGGGCTCGAAAAAGAACATGTACTTCAGTAATTGTTTGAGAATTAAAAAAAATAAGTGAATAAATTTATACTTACTTTTTCAAGTTAACGGAGATGTTTTCACAACTACGATATTAGATCTGAAGAAATGGTAGGGTACTTGCTTTACAGCCGTCAAAATCTATACTGCTGCACTGAGCAAGTCTACCACGATACTAACACTAAGGGAAAAGGTTGGCTTTAACGCGCTAATGCTACGAAAAGTCGAGTTAAGTGAAAATTTGTCATAAGTGTGAGAAAAACAGCATGATATCGTTGTCTCTTTTCACTTACTCAGATGATCACGCCATCTAGCTGATATTTTTCGCTGTCGGCCCGGTGATTGGACGCCTTGGGGCAATAAATTCAAAGCCAATCGCTTGACTGTAGCGAACAAATTCATTGCTTTATCAGTTAGGTGACGTGGTCACTTGTAATTACTGTGAGGGGAACAGCGATGTCGTGTTATCTCTTTTGACTAACGATAAACTACCTCTCTCAATTAGAAGAAGCATTGCTGAAAGCAGCCGTGAAAACACAATACCACAGTAGCTTTGGTAGATCAAGAAAAAATCAAGGACGTTATTACTTGTCATAGAACTTTTGATGAAACAACATTTTTAAAAATACTGATTTTACCATCAGTATACTACCACGCCAAACTATACTGAAAATAATTTTCCAGCGAGTATTAAAGTTAATAATATCGAACTGCACAACTAAATTGTGTTATTGATATCATTGAAGAGGAACAAAAATAAACTTACTATAAACAATAACACACAAATAAAAATATTCAAATACTATATTGCAAATAACATTTTACTATATCGCAAACAATACACTATCAAATTGATTGGTTTGAAGTTTACTAAGATTTCAATCTAATCTTGCTACCAAAACCGGTAGCTGGTACATATAAAAAATGCATGAATGTAGTAAGGAGTGTAAGCTGGTGTACGCTACTCGTTAGAGAAGTTGAAATTTTTGTTAAAAACTGACTGTTTATTCTATAAAGTAGTAAGCCTCCTGAAAGACGTGAACATTTAGTTATTTATTCTTAAAGTTTTAAAAGTACATTAAAATTTTGTTTAACATCATTTACTAAATATATAACAGCATTTAAATTAAATTTTCTCGAACAATACTTCGTAAAATTCTCATAATTGTATAAAGTTTTAAAATTTTGTTTGACCGCATAATTATTTCAGAGGATGCTTACCTAAATCATGATAAAGTATTCCTATATTTCCTGTCAATACCTTAACTTATTTTTAATAGCCTGTAGTTTAGAAGTGTGAGTCCGTTGGAAATAGCATAGGCTTCGTTATGTTTTTTTTTTTTTTTTTTTTTAAGGCACGACTACTTTATTGAAGTGCGTTGTATTTTTGTCATGAGTTTATAGTGTAACCATGTATAAATAATCTATTTCTGGTGTGAAACAAATTTTGAAGACAACATAAGGATGATCCAAGTGATGCCCATGAAGTACCAAAATACATGTACGAACTAATAATGTTTTCATCTATTTCAGATCTAATTTAGTTTGTGCTCTTCGTTTGTATATTATACTTAGATACTTTGAACCTAAATTCCATCGAAGGAAATAAATTTACCAGCCAAAGTTAAGATAATGGGAATTAGTATTTTGCTTGTAATAGGCTTATATTCAATCGAAAAAAAATGTAGATCTAAATAAAACATAATTTTTAACCACTTTTATGTACCCCCCCTTAAATAAATTTTTTTTTTTTTTTCTAATATTGTTATAGCTTAACCGTAAATTTTAAATGTCAGAAATAGCCAGTTATTTAAGCATAACTCTAAAAGTCATAGAAACTTGGCCTTAAAGAGAAAGTTTTAGATCTTTTAAAAATGTCAAGGTATGTTTAGATGCATGTCCTCTATACAAGATCACAGTGAATAGGACCTGAAATAAGTGAACGCACTGTCATAGAGAAAGCTAGATGGCAAAAACAAGGGGGGCACGCATAAACAAAGCTCATTCACTGCAACTAGTTGCAGAGAAGATAGTGCAGGAACTTAAAAATTCTCTGCAGCGATGACGTGAACAGAAGACTCGAAGTGCGTGTATTTGCTGCGTTGGACTACATAACGTGGGTATACATAACATGTATACGTTATGCATATCCATTTCAACTCATGTACAATAATAGATTATTTTTTGACTTACAGAAATAAATGTAAACAATAGCAACATTGTAATATACACTTATTTCATCTGTAAGAATGGTTTTATTTAGAACTAACAGCCCCCCGTCTCGGCTTCGCCCGAGACTTACTGAATAAAACACCGTAGAGTGTTGACATGTAATGTGAAACGTTTTCAGTTAGAAATTTTACATTTATTCCTGACACTTCTCAGAACAAAAATCTTCTTATTAAAAACATATTTGTTCGCAATCCATACAGCTTATTTGGTCAAATAATAAGCTGTAAAAATTAAAAAATTATAATTATGCTGAAAAGTACCGTGCGTTGGTTAGTGATGCTTGCCCGTTGGAGACTTTCGTTGGCTCAAGTTTTTTTCTCCTCCATAGCTGTTAGGTTCGCCCAGCGCAGACCTTGGAGAGGATCGGTGATTCCTGATTGAATGCTTACAGTAGAGAGGGTAATATAGGGTCGTCGGTCACCGGGGTTCCCAGCCTTGCGACAAACAACTCTGCCCGTCACGTCTGCCAGTGAATGACTGACTTGGTTTAATAGTGGCCGGCTTTACGTAGTCTTTTAGTTGTCATATAATGTTTCCGGAAATAGTAGTAAGAATGTATTTGTTGGCAAGGTAGTTTAAACTTAGGTAGCCATTAAAAGAACCGATGAGATTAATGGTTAAGTAATGAGCGTAAATACTTATATTGGCCCCAAAAAGGCCAGTGGTGAAATTTCTAGTTATTCCTTATAATTATTCTTGATGATGGAGAGCGGGTAGCTTAACTCTTACCCTCGGAGTCTCTGTGGACGGAGACCGTACATGAGGGAGGTATGCCACTGATCAAAAAATATCTCGTCTTCGGGTTATTCCCCGGATCACCAACCGCTCATCATTAGTCGGGGAAATGTGGGGATTGCCGTTGGGGACACGACCACTGAGAAGGAAGGACTCGGGATTCCTGAAGATTGGCGCCCGTTCTCTAGCGCTACAACATTTGATGCTTTCCTATGCTGCTGCCTAAAGGGCAGCCTCAGCATCCCGCGTGGCGGCTTTCTCCCCTCCTTCTTGCGACTGACTACTGACCCGACGTAATCGTTCACCGCCCTCCATCCCTTTCGGTGCGAAGCATCTCAGGTACGATGTTTTTGGGAGTACGTGTTACGTCGAGCCTGTCCACCAGTTGCTGGTGCTCACAGTGCCATTTCTCGCACACAAAAAACGTGCGTTCGACGGTATCATCCACCGTGGGGCAGCCGGCACATCTGGGGAATGCTTTCACCGCCACCCGGTAGAGTGACCATGCCCAGAGAGGAACTGGGTGAGGTATTAATCTACCCCTCCGTGCCGTCTCCCCACCTATGGTCGCAGGTTCGGATTCAGCCGGTTCATCCACCTACTAACACTAGCCCGATCCCAATGCTGTTGCCACGGCGTCAACGTTTCCTTCCGTCTGTCACCATCGTTTCCATCACCAGAGTCCNTGCAGATTCAGTTGTTTTGGTGATCTTAGATGGGGAGATTGGTTAGTGATACTTGTCCAGTGGAGGCTGTCCCGTTGGCTCAAGTTTTTTTTCCTTCATAGCTGTTATAGGTTTGCCCAGCGCAGACTTTGGAGAGGATCAGTGATTCCTGGTTGAATGCTTAGAGTCGAGAGGGTAGTATGGGGTCGTCGGTCACCGGGTTTTCCAGCCTTGCGAAGAACAACTCCGCAGGTGACGTCTGCTAGTGGATGGCTGACTTGGTTTAATAGTGCCCGTCTTTAGTTNAAGATTTTAAACCCCCAAAAAATTTATATTAAAAAAAATTTTTTTTTTCTCATATCTCACAATTTTATTACCAGAGCAACAAAGTCCTGGACCTAAAACCCTACATTTTTATTGCCACAAAAACAGAAATAAATTTTCTACTTATTTAAAAATCTGAAGTAGGATCTTTAAAGATTTCAGAGATTGCTGTAAGGGTACAATGAAAAGCTGATCTCTCATGTAATGGACTCTTAAGTTGTCGATTTTGACACTGCTGTTTCAATCTCGATAAATTTTCTGCGTCAGTTTCTTGACGCCTCAAATTGTATTCATTAGATACATTTGAAGTTTTCTTTCCAATATACCCTTTTGCGACTATTGGCATGCTTACGACTTTTATGACCTCTAAAGGCTATTTTCAGTCAACTTTGTTAATTTTAATATGTTTGTTGGCTAGGTAGTTCGACGTCCGATGGCCCTAAAAAAGACCGGTGAGCTTCTTAAGTAAACTCTTTCTTTGACTGTAGTTAACAGCAATTGTGACTGCCTGGATACCTCAGGGTGATCTTCTCTGGCTTACTGTTGAAGACCCAGACTAATTGGGAGAAAAATTACAAAGTCCGAAGCTTTGGGGCTAGTTGTAGTGCTCTTTCCCAACGTCTCCCGGTATAACGTCGAAAACGTTGGTGTCTAAAGCACCTTTTTTATTTGCAGATTCAGTTGTTTTGGTGATCTTAGATGGGGAGATTGGTTAGTGATACTTGTCCAGTGGAGGCTGTCCCGTTGGCTCAAGTTTTTTTTCCTTCATAGCTGTTATAGGTTTGCCCAGCGCAGACTTTGGAGAGGATCAGTGATTCCTGGTTGAATGCTTAGAGTCGAGAGGGTAGTATGGGGTCGTCGGTCACCGGGTTTTCCAGCCTTGCGAAGAACAACTCCGCAGGTGACGTCTGCTAGTGGATGGCTGACTTGGTTTAATAGTGCCCGTCTTTAGTTAATATAGTCTTTTAGTCGACGAATCGCTTCCGGAAATGGTAATAAAAATGTAGTTGTTGGCAAGGTAGTTTACACTTAGGTGGATCCTAAAAAAAACCGATGAAATGGATGGTTAAGTAGGGAACGTAAATACTTATAATGGCCCTTAAAAGCGCCAGTGGTAAAACTTCCAGGCTATTCTTTCTTATTATTCCTGATGATGAAG